CAAGAGAATTCCGTGCCGTTTTGCAAAGGTGCCCCCATCTCACTCTGCCGTCACCTGCCTTCGCCGAGCTCGTCTCCCAGCGACCTCTCTCTGGCCAGTAGTGTAGTGTAGCATGTTATCAAGCGTAAAAGCGCAAAGGCTAAATAATTACATAAAAGTAATGAAGTATAAGAACAAGCGCAAAAGCGCAAAGGCTAAATAATTAAATAAGAAAACTAGAGTAGTCTGAGATCAAGCGCAAAAGCGCAAAGGCTACGGCACAAGGCTAAATAATTACACAATAAAAGTAATGTATAAGAACAAGCGCAAAAGCGCAAAGGCTAAGTAATTAAATAAAAAAACTAGTGTAGTCTGGCACAAGGCTGAGATACACTACAAACTAAGAAAAGTACAACTGGTACTTTCATGATGTCAAAAAAGTCAACAGTTACAACTAAAGTGTAACTGGACCTGTAGCGCAATGGCTACAGGCCAGTACACATACACAAACACATACAAATAAACAACTATTCATTACTGGCTTCAAGGGGCTCCCTACAAAGACATTTGCCGCAGGCCGTGAGCAAGAACACCGTCCAGAATGAAATCTTAGGTGCTGTGTGTGGGAGGAATTTGATCCTAAATTTGCCAGCAAAGTCGCGAGTCAGTCGTGATTGGTTAAAAGTTCCCTCCCCATCCTCCAGCACGCAAACTTTTGTGGCGAAGTTTGATTCGTTTCCAGGCTTCTTAATTGGTGTCCCACACTGGCACTGCTACTGGCAGCCCCATGGTGCCAGCAGGTCCTGGAATAATAATAATAATAACAGCGACAGTTGGGTCGTACTTGTATAGCGAGGGGGAAATCACTTTCGCAATAGTTCGTACACCTTCCCCCCAGACAGTACGAAAGAAAGGCGAAATAGAGCGTTATAGACATACTCCAGGAATAATCCGAAATAGGCGAGAAATAACCGGGTTGGCGACACTCACCTGGATCGCTGGATAGACGCGCCGGCCGGCCGCGCAAGTGTGCAGGCTCAAGGGGGAGTCACTCCCCACCTTGTTGGCGTCCAAGAGAGTGCTGCTTCTGACGGTCTGCAGATACACCCGGTACCCCTGATCCCGGTGGGGTACGCCACTCTTTTGGGAGACGTGCACGGGGACGAGGCCGATGTCCCCCCGAGATAGTGACAGAATGTGCTAGAATGGGCATCAATTGACGTGCAAAATTAAACAAACTGTCGAGAAAATGCACACTTCAACTTTAACGTCACTTGACGTGCCAAATTAAACACCTGTTTTACCAGTGAAGTGTACCTTTACACACTGGGAATGCAAGTGTGTGAATATCTATTCGTACAATTATGGGGGGTACACGTGTGGACTCACCTGTAGAACGGCCTCCTCGTACTGCGGTCCCCGGCACGCACAGTGGTCCTCCCAAAAGAGTGCCATGTCACAGATGAAAATTGAAAACAATAGGTGGTCAGTTAAAAAATTGCGAGGCAATTGCCAGCGGATGCAGGGGAGACAGATCGGTGCTCAGTGTTGCGCATTCATCTTATACCCAATCGGCCGTAGTGGCGCGCTCTGGCGTCTTTGGTGGGTAACAACTCCGCATCCCAAATATGTCATATTTTATTTATTTGCCATTTAAAAACCCGACGGAAACGAACAACCGCCCCCATACGCCCTCCGTTGCTTTTCCAGTCGATGTGCAGTCCTTGTAATTTCGCAAAATTTTCGCGGCCGGACGTAGTGGTGCCGTCTGGCGGGCTCAGTGCGTAGCTGCATTTGCTTCTTTTTGTGAGAGTTTTGGGGCTTTTTATTCGTTTGGCGTACTGCATACGTTACTCGAACAATTGAAATTATTAATTAGTATAGCAATAGACAGTGTTATTCCTAAATAGGCCGGGCACGGACGGCCGTCAGGTGCACTTGTTCCCCTCGCGGATGCATGCCGGCAGGTGCATGTACGCGCATACGCGCACTACCTGTCGATCGCGGGATTCATGCGCCGCTGCCATTTCGTTGTCGGACGCCCAAGTTGCCGGTCGGAGGGGAACTTGTATCTGCCTGGAGGCAGGGGCGATCAACCGTTGGGCGCACTGGTAAAACAGAGGCACTGAACCAACTTTGTTAGTGCCATTTGCTGCGAGTGCAAGTGCCATCGCAGGGAGCGGGGGCCGTGGCCGAGCGCTGCACGCC